TCCACACTAGCATCCACTGCTCCCAGCTTCACCTCAGATCATCAGGCCATTAAGATTTCTCATAAAGCATGCACATAGATCCCTTGCATGTGCAGTTTACAGTAGGATTCATGCTCCTGAGAGAATATATGCCATCACTGATCTGAAAGGAGGTGGAAGCTTCATGTGGTGACTCGTGAGCTATAGGCATGGTTGTAAATACAAGATAAAGCTTCACTGTGCTCACCTGCTGTTCACCTCCTCCTGTGAGGCCCAGTTCCTAATAGGCCATGGACCATACCGGTCTGTGCCCAGGTTTGGGACCGCAGTGTTAGCGACTTACTCATATGATACAGCTAGTATGGAGGAGTGGCTTGAATCCCAAGCTTCTCTAGTGCTCATAATGACTATAATTCCTCTCTGCAAGGCACATACAGCTAAATAAAGCTAGAGCAAGGCAGAAATTTTTCATTAACTTTACCACATACAGGCTTGGAAAATTCAGCAGCCGTCTTTAACATCCATTCCTTATAAGCAAATGAAAAGTAAATATAACTCTTTAGATTGTATATTTAGTAGCAGTAATGATGATGATGATTAGCCATGTAAAGTGGCGAGCCTTACTATATATAAGCACAGCGTCAAGTGATTTTGTCTATAATGATTCAACTAATCATTAAATACCGAGTTGAACCAATGAAGATAGGTGCTATTGCTACCTCTATTTTACATGCAACTTAGACTTTTGCCCACGCGTCATCCCAGTTTGAAAGCAGGAGAACTAGGATTCAAATCCATATCTGTCCAACTTACAGAGCTATACTCTCAAGTACCCACCTACACTGTTCAGCTTTGCACACCGACCTTCGACATACAGCCATGGACATGTCTCTTCAAAAATAGTCCAACCAAGAGAGAAAATCAATGGAAATGAACAGAAATCTCCTCAAAGAAGACATAATAAAGGCTGCCACATAGAAAAAAATGTTCAACATCTCTAATCATTAGAGAAATGCAAGCAAAAACCACAATGAGATACCACCTAACCAAGTGAGAATGGCCTGTTCAAGAAATCCAAAACAACAAATGCTGGGAGGATACAGAGAGAACAGAGAACCTCTTACACTGCTGTGGGATGGCAAATTAGTGCAACTTTGTGGAAAAAGAATTTGGAAATACCTCAAACAGTTAGAATAGAATCCATTCCACCCAGCAATAGCATTGTTGGGCATCTACCCAAAAGAACATAAGTCTCTCCTATTATAAGACTCTGCACCTGAATAGTTTATGGCAGCACAAGTTCACTATCGCATGGTCATGGAAACTACCAGTGCCCGTCAATTCATGAGTGGATAGCTAAAATGTGGTATATGTCACAATAGAATATTATCAATCTAAGAAACGAAGTGAGTGAGCAACCGTTTATGCTATCCTGGAATGGAAGCTTAAGCCCGTTTACAAGCCAGATGACACAAGATCGGAAAAATGGCTACACATCTAACTCGCCATCAAATTTGGTACTGATGACTAAACTATGGTGCTCAAAAAATGTAGTGTTCAACAGGGATTGGGGTGGGAGACCACATTTAAGAAGTGGCGAGAATTGTTAGGGGGAAGGATTACCGTCTATCCCTTTTTAGGGAAGTAAAGAAATAATTGTAACCAATGTCCTGAAAAAAATCTGTAATAGGTAAGTGGCAGGTGGAAGGGGGAGGAGGGGAAGGTATGTACTTACACGGTGGGTGCGGTGGCGCACGCACCTGGAGGCTGGACACGCTAGAATCTGCATAGCAGGGCAGGGGAGGGAGGGGCAGGCAAAGATATGTAACCCTAACAATATCTGTACCCCCATAATATTAATAATAACAATTAATTAAAAAAATACATGAGGGATGTGAAGAGAACACGTAGTCTTTTAACAATATTTCAGGCTATGATCTCCATTGTGTCATCAAAACCATGTATGTAATGTGTGGTGTGTTTCTGCTTTAAAGGAGTCATTAGAAGATAAATTTGTGTTAAATGTTTTTTATAACCCTGAATCTCCTGGATAACCATTTGGCATAATTTAATTTGATATTATTATTTTCCCATTCTGGCCTCATGCTCCATTTTTGCCATTTGAGGCAATAATACTTAGCATTTAAACCGATGCCACTTGCTCTGTGGTTTCTGTGCTATACTGCTAGGAAGGTGGGGAGGGGGGGCAGAAAAAGGTAGGCTGTTCTGATTTAAAATAGTTGGGATCCCAAACACCAAGCTTAGAAACTGACGCATCTTGATCCTGTGTTTCATTTTCATAATCATTTGAAATGTATTCTTTGGGATCCTTTTGCTCCAAACCATACCATACCAAGTCTTGGAGCTTTGAAATAGAACAGAGTATGTTTACTAAACTGGACCAATCTGTGTTTCCCCATGAGTCGGTGAGATGATATCGGATGAGTATTTCAGATATCCTTCAAGAAAGCATGTCCCCTTTTTTGTATTGGGCTGTGTCTGCATGAATGCAGCCACTGGTCTGAGAAGTTTCTAACTATAATGTGAGCTCAAACAAAGGTGTGTCTGGGCCTCTTGGTACATGCTTTTTTGTACTTTGTTTGCATCTTCCCCCTAGTTGTATATGTTTCCAATAGAATATTCTGGTAATTGTCTCGCTCAGGCAGAAGGTCGAACCTACTTTAAGGATTGCTGTGGATTCCAAATGAGACAGACACCTAAGTTCGTTGCCTGGCACATAGCAAATTTGGCTCCAAAGATGGGAGTTCTATATCCTCCTCCGATGTTGCATTGGAGTGTGACTGTCCTGAATTATAGTTGAGGAAATAGTATATATTCAACATTCACAATATTATCAAAAGAAAATGATTTTGGTGATCTCTTCAATAAGTTAAATGTAAATTACCATCGTGACAATCTGCAATTTCACTTCCTAGGTAGTGATCAAAAGAACTGAAACAATGATGTCCATGGCAAAAACTGTATACAAAGGTTCATAAGTAGCACTATGGCTATTTGGCTTTCACAATAGCCAAAGAAGTGTGAGACCAACTAAATATCCACTCAATTGATGAATGGAAAACAAAATGTGGTTATTATTTATGCAATGAATATTACTTAGCCGTAAACGGCATGAGTACTGATATACGCTACAACATGAAAACCTAGAACACATTAAAGTGAGTGAAAGAGGCAGACAGGAAAGGTTAATGTTGTAGGATTTCACTTACAGGGAAGTAGGGAAATCCATAGGAAAAAGTAGATTATGTTAGCACCATCCAGGCTCTACTAACTGAGAGTAAGCACTCCAGTTATAACACCCAAAATATCCCCTAGACATGTCAAATATTCTCTGGGGCAAAATTACTCCTGGTTGAGAAACCACTAATTTGAGAGTTTGAAACACAAAACCAGTTGACACCTTGAAGCCTCAAATGTGTTTCTGTCTAACCTCTCCCAGCCTTCATCTAACCTTTTAGCCATTCCTTCTCTAGCCAAATAACTATACTGTTCTCTTTTCATCGTCTTGAACAACAGTGTCCTTGCCTCCTTTGTGCTGTTCTTCGTCTGACTGAAAATGTCCTCCCCATCTCTCTGTCTCAAAGTTCTCCCCACTTTAAAGACCTATCACAAATACCCAACTTTTCCACGAAGCCTTTTCTCGATTTCTAACCAACAGGGTTTTCCTCTACTAGTCTCTACACCTCTTATCCTAAGTATGCAGCCTAATTGGAAATGTTACTGCTTCTGCACACATAGTATGACCTTAAACTGCACATAGAGGTGCTGAATATATATTAATTAATTGTACGTTTTACATATTGAATTCCTTTAAAAAATATATATGTTACAATTTGATATCAAAAACTAACAATAACCAATGAAAAATTGAAAAAGGAATCTGTCAATACAGATCCCAAGAATGGAAAAACAAGCACCAGATATATTCTCCAGCAAACTGGTATTAACTGAGTAGCACCTAAGTGGACACATAGGTTCTACAGTAATAGGGTATTGGGCAGGTGGCAGGGGAGAGGGGGGCGGGTATATACATACATAATGAGTTAGATGTGCACCATCTAGGGGATCGTCATGATGGAGACTCAGACTTTTGGGGGGAGGGGGGAAATGGGCATTTATTGAAACCTTAAAATCTGTACCCCCATAATATGCCGAAATAAAAAAAAATGGTCAGTTTCATTTTTATACCTTATCAGACTTCACTGGAGGAAGGCCTTGGTCAGGTATTGGCCTTTAAAAAAGGCAACATTTCTGTATTCCTTATTTGAGGTTATAAGCACCTCCAGAAGGACCATACATTTGCGATAGTTCTCTCTCACAGAGAAAATGACAAGCATCATTGACTACATTGCTGTTCTCATGAGTCATAAATGATATTTGGCCTTTCAAATCATGAAGTCCAGTCTCATTGGTAATGCTGAAAACATACATTCCTGCCATCTCATTTGGTGGTAAAGTACTGTTAATACTCATAATGCAGAATAGAAGGAAACGAGGGCAGAAGCAAGTTTTTCCCAAATGCCTTTTGCCTGAAGGGTCATGTAAGCAGCAAGATGGTGGGTATTGATTCTCAGATGCATTCTGAAGCAGTGCATCTGGGAAAGGTGAATGGAGCAGTCACATTTATACCTAAATTAATGAGTGTAGGCTCTAGGCCTCACACTGGAGTCACCATAGGAAAGATACACCTTGTGCAAGACAATGAGTAGTTCAAGAGAGGGCAAGGCAATCTCCATTGCTTACTGATGACTAGTATTTGTGTATGAAAAGTAGAGAAAGGAAGTGAAAGCAGTTTTAAAGAGCCCAGCATTTCCTTTCTATAGCTTTAATGAAAGTGTGAGCTAATTCAGCCTGTTTTAGAACACTATGCCCACCTTTGCTTCTTTCCTTCTCCCCAAAGCCCAGAGGTGAAACAGGAGAAGCCTGTGGATGTCAAAACCATTCTAGTTCCTCTTGCTCCCTCCCCTCAGGCCCAAAACGAAGCCCTAAACTCTTCCTACCTGGTAGAGCTCAGTGGCAGTACACTGAGTGGTCAAGGTCTTCACAGGCTCAAGGTCATCCTCATCACTGCTCAGCTTCAAGTCATCCTCAAGCATCCTAAAAGGAAATCAGAGTGGCGTTCAAGTTAGAAGGAGCCTTTTCTAAATCATCCTCAGATACATCTTGTAATGAGGATAAAATATTGGAGCTACATTCTGACAGCTGCAATTCTGTCAAAGGTGCAGAGGATACCAAGATTCTTTCAGCTAATTAGATATTTGAGCTCTTATATCTATGTCATACTCTGCACGCATCTTCCCTCTCTACCTTCCCCTAAATCAAGAGGAAAAAAAAGACTATAACAGCATCTCCAGAGATGACTGGAGTCTATATATTTTTATTACTAAAAGTGCAATAAATGTACTGATCAATCATTATGTAGGTGGGATGTGGCATTGAATCTCCACAGGACAAGGTCCTCTGAGCCTCCCATGAAAGAACAGGGGCATGATAACAGCCCCTAGCTCTAGAGGCTGTTTTTGAAGCCTGCTGGGGCTCTCTGGATGACAGAGGCAAAAGGCCCCGTGAACTTCTACTGCCTTTCAGTGCCCTCTGTTGCTGGGTAACTCAGTGGCCACAAAAAAGCTGGGCAAGAAATGACTAATCATTAATCTTTTGATATATGACTGATCTCTTCCTATAAAATTTGATCCAAAAAATGTAAGCCCATGATGTGGATAAGAAATCTTTCTCTCCTAAGGCAAGGCACCTGAAAAATATGACTGGTGTGGACTTTGGTGATGAACTAGCACTTTCAAAATTGTTATGGAACACATAGAGCCTTTTGTTTCTACAAGAGTATGAATCCCAGTACCATCTCATCTATCTCCAAGTGTGAACTACAGCAGGAAGTGTGGCTTATTATCTTAGAAGTCCAGTGAAACAACCTTCAAAGGACAATTGATGTTCATGTTTTATTTAGTAAATGCAACTTTAGACCCCATCCTAAGGCTTCAAGAGGTGACAGTCTCAGACTCTCTGGACCAATTACCATTTCCTAAGCATGTGTTGCTCTTTCTGGCTTCTAGCTCAGCATCAGGCTCAGCTACCAGGAGAGAATTCCCCTTTTCAACTCTGGAAATCCTATTTTCCTCCATAGCCCAAGTCAGATCCCACTTCCTCCACAAAAGCTTCCTAGAAAGAACCTTCATCTCAAAAAGCAGATCTTTTGCCTCTGCCCAAGTCCAAGCCTTGGCTGGATCACAGCACTGCTTCCTACTGAGTCCCTCACTAGTCCCTAATTCCCATGTGGGGTGGGGAGGGGGAAGCTCTTTCATCTCCCTGTTCTTCACAGCATCTTCCCACTGGCCTCATTCTCTAGACAAGGAATGAAAGGTTCAGAGAGGTGAACTGCTTTGTACATGGTCACACAGTTAGATAGTGCTAGGGCCAATCCTAAAATCCCCATCTCTGGATTCCCACCTGTGTATTTTTCCAGAAGGGAAGCTGGAAGGGAAAGGGCAGCTTCCAATTTGATAAATAGGGGAAAACATTACTTTAGGGATTATGTTCAAATGTTAGAAAGAGATTCAGGTGGGAGTGGGTATCCAATAACTCTCCAAGGAAAGCACAGTTTCCCCACTTTCATGCTCAGCCACATAGGACCAGAATGTGTTCTCTGAGGTCTGCAGACCAAAGACTGATATAAAGGATGATTGGTGGGAAGGACAACTGTTGGTTTCAGATAAATTAAATTTGCAGGATTTATGACTGTCCTTCAAGAGACTAATGGATGTTTTGACAATCTTGGAGAAGGAGAAAAAAAAGGTATCATGATATTTCTTTAGCAGTTGCAGGCTTATGACTCTGAACAAATAATTCTTTACAACATTTTATGGGAAATGAAGACTGTAACATTCTTATAAGCTATAAAACTCAAATATTTAAAAACTACCGGCTGGGCGCCGGTGGCTCACGCCTGTAATCCTAGCACTCTGGGAGGCTGAGGCGGGTGGATTGCTCGAGGTCAGGAGTTCGAAACCAGCCTGAGCAAGAGCGAGCCACAGCCCGGCCTATGTATGGATTTATTCAGCTACATTCTGTAGCCTAAAAACAACACTATTACTTTGTGGGGATTTCAATGAAAGGCAATGACAGATAAACGTACATTAAAGACTCTATCAAAGTTATTTTGCACCAAGTTTAATCCTAATCCATCTGTTGTTTCTAGAGCTCTGACAGGACTCTCTTTGCTGTGTGTGCTGTATTGATGTCATTACCGAAGAGGCCTTCCCCAGCCTTTCTGCTGATAACAAAGTAAATGGAAATGCACAGAAACCTTGAGGAGTTACAACTTGTTCAGCATGATGAGGGAGAACTGTGGCTACAAAAATAGGACGATCACAGCAGGAAAGAGTATCTGTTGTCACAACTAATGTATTCACCACAGCACATCAACCTCAAAAGAGCTAGCTGATAGCAGGAGTAAAATTTATTGCATCTTTTCATTAGCAAACTTAAAACATAAAAATGGACTTTCAAGTTAACTTGGCTACTTTGTTTTGAATATTCAGTGTGCACAAGTATCAGGGACACATTCCAAATCTGCCAGAAAGGTTAAGGTTTCAGCAGCTATGTAATTAAGTTCACTTACAATTATCAAATAGCAACCTAGCCAGAAAGCTGGCCTAGAAACAACAACAAAAAAAACAAAAATTAGATCAAATATAAAACCAAAATCTAGGATCTAGATTAAAAAGCTTTTTTTTTTTTGCATGTGTGAGGTAGAGATCTGTAGACAAAAAAAAAAAAAAAA